GTCATAGCCCCGGGGCCCAGTGAGGTCTTAATGCGGCCCTGGTTAGGAGAAACAACTTAAACAAGAGCTCCAAGAGCAACCTACGAGTAATAAAATGTTACTCTGGGTGGGACTGAGAGTATAGTCATGGTATCCAGCACAGACAGAGAGGCCACCCTTCTGTGAGAACCTCAAAAACACAGATGTTTTAATTTATGTGAGTGACACCTACTCTCTCTCTCTCTCTCTCTCTCTCGCTGTCCTTATTAAACAGAATCTCCTTTCCTGCCTGCAGACGTCTATTCTGTCATTCTCTTTCCTTCCCTCTCTCTTTGAGGGACAGCCGTCAGAGCGTTCCTCTCAGCACTGCAGGTGGCTTATCTCTCTTCACACGTTTATTTATGTCCTTTTCTCCAGCACACTTTAAACTGGGGTCACTTTGCAGGTGGTGTGTCAGCTCGCTGACCAGTAGCAAAGCAGTTAATCTGTGTGTCGGGTGTGTGATGTGTCAGTCTGAAGGTCTGTGTGTGTGTGTGTGTTTTGAGTGATGAGTTCACAGACCTTCAGCTAAAACAAACTGTGAACTCCATCTAACCTGTGCCATTTATCGTTAAAATATGGCCAGTGAAGCTGTCAGACTGAACATTTATTAGCTGCTTTAATATCAGCCTGTCTCTGAGCGATCTCTATCGCAGCAGGTCTCACATTCGGCTTTTACAAGCACCTGACACTGACCTCGTACCAGCCTCTTGTCCAAATTCTGTGAGAACCGGAAAAAACCTGTGACTGAAGATTCAACAAGCTGTGAATCCCTGCTGTGCTGTTGTTAGGGTGTTGTGGATGGTGTTCAGGGTGTTTCTGTGTGGTTGCTATGGTGCTCTGAGTGTTTTTAGAGTGTTGCTAGGGTGCTGGATGGTGTCCATTGTGTTTTTGTGTTCTTTTGTTTTGGATGTCTTTCTATTTTTCTTTCAAACATTCTTTCAAAAAATTCAAGCAATATCATTTCTAGGATGCTGGTTAAAGATGTAGCATAACTAACTTGCAAGACTTTATAATGGTTATCAGTCATACAATTTTAATGAAATAAAAATTGTATGACTTCTAAATATTTAATTACGGTATTTAATTAAAGTATCTAGTTTAAAACCTGTTAGTTATCAGCTGAACAAGTGTATTTATTTAACACTATTTAACCAATTTTACAGAATTATAATGTAGGTATAACATACTCTAGACTTTTGCTGTATGTACATACAGAGCTTGGTAGATTACTTAGAAATTGTAGCCCGTTACTGATTCCAAATGACAATAATGTAGCTAGAAACGTAATCCATTACATTACACATTTTAGGTAATGTAATCAGACTACTTTTTGATTAATTTTAGATTATTTTTTTTAAGTTGTTTATCACATTGATTTAAATAGGATAATCTCATACCATGTTGATATAAAAATACAAAGAGTCTATATTCCATTCGTTGTAATTCATAACATGCATTAACATTACATTACTTCAAGGTTTCCCAAACTGTGGTTTGTAAATGAACTGCAGGGGCTTCATAAGTTTAATGAAAAGCTAATAATGAATTAAATCATAAAAATTGAAAATGAAAATAAGTCATTTTAGAATAACATCAATCAAAATAAAACACTTACTGAAATAAAATATTTGATTTGTTTACCTGCACGTCATGTGACCATTAAACAACATGAACCGTGAACATGCAGATGTGATATTTAATTACTAAAATATTTATTTTAAAATCTCAGCGTACTTCAAATAAATATATTAGGTGAAAGATGTTCAAAGGTTTGGGAATGCCTGCATTATATGCAAATAAGAAATAAAGTGAATTTGTCTATTTTAATATTGTGCATTCTTTGTCTGAATGTCCACAAAACTGGAAGACCATCTGAATGTACAGTGGGTACGGAAAGTATTCAGACCCCCTTAAATTTTTCACTCTTTGTTATATTGCAACCTTTTGCTAAAATCATTTAAGTTAATTTTTTTTCCTCATTAAAATTTAAGGGGGTCTGAATACTTTCCGTACCCACTGTATATAAGCAGTATTAGAAAGGAACATTTAAAAGATAAAAAAGAGGAATTAGGGAGAATCAATCAATGATGAATAATTTATTGCTATTGTGTGAATAATATGCAATCATGTAATCGATAAAAAGTAACTGTATTTGATTCTGAGTATTTTAAAATGAAATATAATCTCATTACAAATACTTAATTTTTGGAATCTGATTACGTAATCCAGATTACATGTAATAAATTACTACCCAGCTCTGCGTACATATTCTCTTCAGCTAAAATAATTTATCCCATATATTGTAGTCTAGTGGTCCTCAGCCAAGGGGCAGGGGTCCACTAGGGGGCTCAGAAAGCATCCAAGGGGCCCGCAGGATGACTCCAAATGAATAAAACAGTGGTTCTCAATCTTTTTTACTTATTATTCAGCATTATTATTATTAAAGGCCCAATAATATAAGGTAATATATTTCCAGTGCCATTTCTGCAAAGCTATTGTTTACCAAATTTTTTATGAGCAGAAACTGGGAGTATTGTCACAAATAATTGTTTATTGCACCAAAAGTTCATGTAAATATGAAGGAAAATCTAACCTTTACCCCGGCGACCCTAAAGGCTGGAATGAATGAAATAGTAACCAGAGTGTAGCAAAGCCAATTGTATATTTTCATGATGAAAGATGAATTCACATTGAGATCACTAGAGAGAGACAACAGAGAAATATTTATGTGCTAGGTTTCAGAGAAATATTTTACTAAGTCTAGCTTTATATAGAACTTGATATATCATTTGTATTTCAGAGTTATATTTAACAAGCTACAGAAACAAATCAGTTGTTTCTTTCCTCAGGGAAATCAGGGTACTGTATAAAAGTCTTTTGAGATATCTTTTGAGGGACTTTGGTTCATGTCTCTGCATATGAAAAATGTTATAAAAACATTTTTCACAAGTGAACATGTAGCATGTTCAGGGGCATGTGTTAATGGCATGTCTGACTGTTTAGATATTTTTCTTCTACATAACGAGCCCGGTCTCATGAAAATGCGTATAAATAGTAAAACTATTAAATAAAAACGAAAACTCATGGTATTGATACGCAAAAATGGACTTTGGCGTGCATATGATATGCTGCTAATGTTAGCTCTAATGCAGCTGCAGAACAGGTGCAGCTCTTCTTCATAATGCATTTTGTCATAATAATTCGAGCCCGGTCTCATGAAAATGCATATAAATAGTACGCCAAATAAAAACAAAAACTCGTGGTGTTGATACGCAAAAATGAACTTTGGCGTGCATATGATACGCAGTTTTCGCGTACATATGATACGCATCTACCCCACAACCCTAAACCTACCCATCGCGTAGCATATACACGCCAAAGTCCATTTTTGCGTATCAATACCACGAGTTTTCGTTTTTATTTGGTGTACTATTTATACGCACTTTCATGAGATCGAGTTGACATAACTCACTGAGGATTGCTTTAACAATTGCAAAGGAAGAGGAATATAGTAAGAGAATACAAGCTTTTTGTGAGAACAGACTTAAATTAACAGAATATTTCACACAAATACTATATGAGGTTGTTTCTTTATTGGAACAGATTCGTAGAAATTTAGCATTACATCTTGCCCACTAATCGATCCTCTGCAGTGAATGGGTGCCGTCAGAATGAGAGTCCAAACATCATAATAATCCACGAGTAATTGACACGACTCCTGTCCACCAATTAATGAAGTGGAAAGCTAGGTGATTGTAAGAAACAAATCCATCTTTAAAGCCATTTTAACCATCACTTCTGGCCAAAATATCCACGATAGTCCATGATCCACTTCCTCCAGTCAAAAAATGTTGATGTGAGATGACAACTCCATCCCCTGTTGTATTATTCACTAAAAAATCTTTATCGTACCTCTCAAAAGTCATGTGCCCTTCTTGCATACACAAGGCAAGCATTAATAGCATTTGAAGTCAGACCTGGCTCTAGGAATCTTCAACAATTGTTGAATATTTAGTTAGTGTTATTTTTTGGTGATTGTGTATGTAATGCCCTATGAAGAAGCTAAGCAAGTAAGCAGATTAAAATAAGCAAAGGATTTTGCTTATTTTTGTAAAGGATTAGTAAACTCAGCTAATCAGGTTGTATTAGCTATGGCAAACTGACTACGGATATTTTCAGATGACACACACTTTAATCCACAACTGTTTCTGGGTCTCTGAAACAATTGGAGCAAATGAAACAAGAACTAAAGTGCTTTGCAAAAAGTTTCATACATTTATTTCTGCCTTTCTTTCATTCTTTCCTCACTTGCTGTTTTTATGGAAACCATGAACCTCAAGGTGAAAAAAATATTTACATTTATATTAATAAGTTCATTAAAACAACACATTATTACTATTATTGTTTAAGAAAAATTATGTCATTATTGTGAGTTTCGTGAAATGACAACAGTAGAGTTTTAACTGCCTTTCCACTGTCTCCTACAAATGACAGACTGGAAATCATTCATGGAAAGTTTTATGGGAACTGCATGGAATTCCGACCATATGAATATGCAGAATTTTCAAATCCAATTTAAGCTTTGGGTGTGCTGAGCATGAGGTGAAAATTATCAGTATTTGTGCACTAAAAGGATATTCTTTAAACACTACTTCTGCACAATTCTGCAAAATGGGCAGTTATGAATAATTAAGTATAAAATAATTATTTTATAATTCATTGCATAACTATTTACGTTGCTCAGCCCTACAAAACCTTCTATGCTTTTCTTTCAGAAATATTGGCAGTCATTTGTTTTGTGCGGATATATTCATACATTCATTATTCATTAATTTTTTCATGAATTTTTTTGTGCGACTGCCATTAAAAGGTGAAATGCAATGTAATGAAATTACTCATTTGTAAGGGAATTAATTATTATTAATTCATTCAGGTTTTAAAAGGACTCGAATCTGAAAATCCTGAGTCAACCTGATTAAAGCTGAATTCAAATCTGATAGTTTACACTTTAAATCAAGGGTCGTCCAGCGAGCCGGTGATTCTTAGTATATTTTAACAATTTGAATAACTGTATTCCCCCTGGCCACGGGTTAATAGTCCGTCCCACGGCGCGATCTCCCAATCGCCCTCTTTGGGGGCGGAGCGTGCATACATTAACAAGAGGCTCCCATTTATTATGAGGACACCTCTAAAAGTTGTTAATACGTCTATAAAGTCTCTTAAATGCAAATATTGTACATACAAATAAAGTTTACTTCATTTCATCATTCTGCATTTGTCGTGCCTATTCGTTCAAGATTAAACTTCACATATTACACACATTTTAATAACCTCATTTCCTAAAAAGGGTAATAAACACTGATTAAAGTTGCACTGATTACATGAACACATCAAGCATATATATATAAGACATACAACATATTATTTGTGAATCTATTGCTCCGATACTTTCAAATGATTGTCTTATGAATCGTCTGTGTAAGCTTGTGTCCCTTTTTTTTGGAATGCAGGGGGAAAAGGGGAGGTGTCCTGAGGTCATGCCCATGTCAAGCGAGTGTGGATCTGCCATCCTTCTGCTGGACAGGGAGCTCTAAAATTGTCTCTTTTGTTGATCGGATTTAGCAATTTATGTGTTAAATGGTCAGGGGTATCACACATCTGGTCCTTGAAAGCCCGTAAAACAAAGATAGTTTTGTATCCTCGTTTGAGTTAGAATTTAAGCCCTGTCTTTATCTGAGTCTCTTGAGAGATACGCTAAATAGGACAGGAACTGCTTCAACCCTTGACTGACCCTGCATGAGTTTTACGACCGCAGCTGGTTGCAGAGGAGTGCCTCAGTTTGTCTTAAAGGAATGTGGTTGTTTCAGGTGTGACTCAATCGTGTAAGTGTCTCCGTTCAAAGACAGAGATCCTACAGCAACAAACCTATGTGAATGTCGGAGATAGTGGAAAGGCGCCTTACTGCGATTGTACTATTTGAATTTACTTTTGTCAATACATCCACAGGCATGCTGTTGTAAGCATGTAGGAAATACTGCTGCTGCAGTTGCACATATAACATATATGAAACAACCCCCATATATAACATACATGAAATCATCCCATAGCAGATCTATACAGGTGGAGCTGGGGGAGGTGGAGGGTTTCTGAAGCACGCTGCAACTGCTACAACAAGCACTAGCCGAGTATTTGAATGTTGAGCAGCAAGCTCATAGGCTGCTGATGTGTAAAGAAAGCAATCAGCTATGCCATATGAATAATGATGTGATTATAGTTGAGGTCAAAAGTTTACACCCCCCTTTCAGAATCTGAAACATTTTACCAAAATAAGAGGGATCATACAAAATGCATGCTATTGTTTATTTAGTACTGACCTGAATAAGATATTTCACATAAAAGATGTTTACATATTGTCCACAATAGAAAATAATAGTTGAATTTATAAAAATTACCCCGTTCAGTATGATTCGTAATACTGTGTTCTTACCTTAATGATCCACTTTTTTTTTCATTAAGTACTGCTACAGGAGATATGTTTCCCAGAAGACAAAATAAGTTAAATTTACCCTGTCCTTCAAATTCAAAAAGTTTTCACCCCCCGGCTCTTCAGAGTTTCATGACAGAACTTTGTATTTAATTAAATATCAATCTATAAGAATTAAGCACTACAGATATTCTGCCACCCCGTGGCTAGGCATAGAATTTAATGCTTACTGTTAGCACATGCTAATTGTTAGCCGGCAATGTTTTGTTGAAGAAAAAAAAAAAGAAAGAAAAATAGGTAGAATAGAATAGAAAAAATGCAGCAAAAGAAAAACAAAATAATGCTCTTCAGGTCAGTTTTGTGTTGTCTGGAGATTACCTGTGGTAGAACGCAGCTCCTGTGAGCACCATGGAGTATTCATTGGTCCATTTAGAGGTATAACCCCACTTCCCCTTCCCGCTGTCCCAGTAATGGCTGCGTGCTGGGTAGCCTACGATCCGATCTGGAAAACTTTGCCAAACGATGAAGGCGAAATCCACCTGCAAACCCAGAGAAAACAGAAGTGCACAATTTTGATTACATAACTATTTCAGAAGGTGAGTACAATAAAAGACAGATTATTATTTTTGGTTAAACTATTCCTTTGAGAATAAAGACATTATGTTCATTTTCATTATCTCTTCAGACTACAGATAAAACCAAAGGGAAGACCCTGCTTGAGAAACTCATCAGAGAAGATTAAAGAAGTAGAATTAACAAAAGCAACATTAGCTCTTTTGATAGTCTGTTAAAAGAACTGACATGGGCTCACTTTCAGTGAGATAAATTATCAAAGGAGCCAATGAGAGCTAAAAGAGAACAAGCATTTTCTAGCTCGGCTCTTTATTTAGCCTTGGATTTTCTAATGCCTTCAGACATGCTTCAGCGTCAACACAACTGACTTGTCTGCATGCAGGGGATGAGAGCAGTCCTTGCTCTGTCAAAGTCAGCATGCGCACATATTAAAAAATGAACCCGCAAATCAGAGGAAAAGCTTGCAAACGTCCCCCTTAATGTTACAATAGATTAATCGCTGCGTTAGCAGCGGATTCGGATTTATGACATCATGCAAATAACGTTAAGGAATTACAGCTTTAAGGCGCATCACTCCAGCAATGCATTGTGGGTGACACACTGAAATTCGCTCCATTCATTATGTGTACTGGACCTTGATTATGGATCTGAGCGAGTGGGAAAGATGAATGGCAGGAGGAGTCATGAATGCTTGGTCTGAGATGAACAGAACTCACAAATGGCTAAGAAATTAGTTTAACTAATTATCTAGCTCTTATTTCATTTAGCAGTGTGCTAAAAGGAGAATCTGAAGTGTTCAGTGACCAATTTGAAGATGACGCAAAATCTTTCTGAAATTCTCAGTACGTTGTGGTAACATGTTTATATGAATTTACAATAAAGAGACATAAAAAAAAAAACAGCATCTACACTGCAGGATGGCAACACAATATGATGCAACAAAACTAGAATGTTTTCTTGTATAATCAAAGACATACTTTGATTTAAGCATTAAAGCATTAAAATTATGTATTTTGACCGTGTTGAGAAGGTACATACTTTTGAGATTATAGTGAAATATCCCAACACTGGGACATTTTGGTTCCTCTTCAGGAACTCGAGCTGCGTCGGAAAACGCTACAGGAACGCCTTCTGTGACCATGCTCTGAATCACATGTGAAATCAGTCCAATAGCTGAGCGGGACGTCACGGGCGGGTGACGTCATGACCAGGAAGCTATAAAAGCACGTGCGGCGGAGCCGGCGTCAGCTTTTCAGTCATTCAGCGAAGCGCTCTGTGTGTGTCAGTCATATTTATTGTTGTCTGTCAATTGTGAATAGTCATAAGCTCCAGCTATGTCTAAGGCTCACGCTAAAACTAAGCATTTTAAGGGCGAGAGCAAGCCACGTTATAGGTTGTGCCTGTTGTGCCTGTGCGTGGTTTGTTTGGGAGCGAGGCACGCAGAGTCGGCTCTCGAGGGGGCCGGCTGCCCACATTGCGTCACTCCACTCGAAGTGTGGCGGCCTCTAAGACCTTTTTAGCAGTTGTTTCGATGCAAAACATCTGCAACGCTGCGGGTTGGTCCACACCCATTACCTTTGTCAGATTCTACGGTCTAGACATGCGAGCCACTCCTGGCTCTTCTGTTCTCTTGCCCCAGCTGTGCAAGCTGCCACACTAGGCAGAGATTTGGAAGTCTGGCAGCGTGGGAGTACAGGGACCATCAATAGAGGGAAATCGTCTCAGGTTACGTATGTAACCATGGTTCCTCGAGGGAACGAGATGCTGTGTCTCGGTGCCATACTTCTGACATCCCTGCCGGCGCTTGCTTCATTCCTGAAGCTGACGCCGGCTCCGCCGCATGTGCTTTTATAGCTTCCTGGTCATGACGTCACCCGCCCGTGACGTCCCGCTCAGCTATTGGACTGATTTCACATGTGATTCAGAGCGTGGTCACAGAAGGCATTCCCGTGCGTTTTCCGACACAGCGTCTCGTTCCCTCGAGGAACCATGGTTACATACGTAACCTGAGATGATTTTTGGGACTATGAAACTATGTCTTCTAAGATACAAGCTACTCCTAATTTAATGGAGTTAGTAACAGATCTTTTTTTATGGCTTCAGTCCATCGTTTGTTGATTGGACGGAGGCAGATCCGTCAACTGTAATAATGGGGCAGAATTTAAAGCCCAAATTTCACATCATTTTTTTTGCATAGAATGATAGCCTGGGGGAACACAGGTGCTTGACAAATGCGCACTAGAAAGATTCATACTTGTCCAGTGTCTGCGCTTTTTCTCTCCAGAAGATATGACAAATTAATTAGTGCAAAAAAAAAAAGTGTGCAGCTGCTTGTACTGTGCAGATTTCTGAATTTTTGTCATGCACACTGCATGCATACCCTATTGTATGCGTAAAAGCCAAAGTATACATTAATCTTAAGCAGACTAACTGATTAGAGGACATTATCTGTGCGATTAGTCACATGGCATTCATGGTTCAGATGACTGGATAAAAAAATAAAAATAAAAAAAAACTTCTAAAAGACGGCAGAATTCCATTGTGGGGATCATGCACCAGCCAAGCAACTGCCATTAAGATGAATAGGAATGCTAACCTTCTTGCCAAGCACACATTTATAGGGTCAGATGTGCAATAAAGATAAATGGGAAAACAAATACACGATAGATGAAGATACAAATTAACCTGCAGAAACATGCACAAACACTAGATTAATGCTGTCATTTATATTACTCTGTCATTGTACTATAACAATTATTACCCTTTCTGGTCAATTCTTCAGGCCATTAACTGCAGCACAGACATCATAACCCATGGCCTCTGCTGTGCCGCTGTTATGCCACACATGTGCCTACAGTCTAATGATGCTTGCCGCACAAAAAAACTCAACCCCTATATTACATTTCCCATTTTAATAAGCCAGTTAATGAGTTGAAAAACAATGCAATTATCAATTCTGTGGAGCCATAGCGCTGCACAGTCTTAACAAAATGGAAACTACTGCTAAATATGCCATATTCTCACATTCTAAGAACTTTTCAATTAAAACCCTCTCAAATGCTTAAAGGGCAATTACTGGGGCAGATTACTGTGCGAAACGAGAGGAAGCTTCCCTCCAAATGTTGCTGGATTTGTTTAAAGCCACAAGAGCTTTCTCACCGAAACTGAGACTCATTAAACTTTTGTAATATGGGTTCTGTAATCTTGTAGCGCTATAAAAGTTAAGTGGATATTCTGGCCAGGCAGAGGTAAAGATGTACTGGGTGCAGTTAATAAAACATCAGTATGATGAATTATGGATAGCAGGTTTCAAACACACACTGAGCTACGCCATACATAATGAACTTGAGAAATTAGAAGCTTTCCAGCCATCTGATTGGACGTATTCTCACTGCTTGTGACATTTGAAATATTATTCTGAAGCAGATTATAATTTACAACGTACACTGCAGTACAGCCAGTGCACTTTAAAACTGCTAGTAAATTTCACAAGCAATTACAAGGAATGCCATGTAACATTGAATTGAACATTAAATTGTGAAGTAGAAAAACTAAAATCATATTTTTTTGGAAAAACATTGACACTGGCAATACTCCAACAACATTGAAGCGTATCTTTCTTTCCTCAAACTTTATGGAATTATGATAGTGTCAGACAAATGTGAGAGGAAAGAGATCAGTCTTTGGGATTTAATTGGTTTTGCTGACTTCTGCTGCTGAATGGTGCGGCTTTTCAAAACTTGCTCCATCAAAGAGGATCAACAAAATCTTTCAAGATCCGACTGCAAAGGAGTTAACAGTAAATTCCATAACCAGATTAATTCCCACATTGTTTTTTCTCCCACCCCTGCCGGGGTATTTACAAACAAGCTTCATAGTCCCATAGACTTGGCCAGGAAAGCCGAAAATGTGTTTCTTTTGTTTTTAACACCCTTAACCCTGTAAACTGTTGGAGAATTGCATTGGCAACAAATTCTTCCTGGCCCTTGGATCATCTCTGCCTTAATCAAACTTAGACCTACGACACCCTAAACATCAAAGCCTCTCTCTGTTCGGGGAACAAATAAATCCCAGAATTCTTCACATTGCCTGAAACATCTTTGCCAGATGGTGCAGCCATATTTTGTGAATTGGCACTGTGGCCACACAGATTTGCATATCACAGCTCGAGGAATGATAGTTGTTAACTACACATTTATAATCCTTTTAAATAATAATTATTCCAGATTTGGCCAATTTGCTGGGAAACTGGAATCTCATTCAGGCCTTTGAAACATTAAAGGGATACACCACCCCAAAATGAAAATTTTGTCATTAATCACTTACCCCCATGTCGTTCCAAACCCCTAAAAGCTTTGTTTGTCTTCGGAACACAATTTAAGATATTTTGGATGAAAACCGGGAGGCTTGTGACTGTCCCATTGACTGCCAAGTAAATTACACTGTCAAGGTCCAGAAAAGTATGAAAGACATCGTCAGAATAGTCCATCTGCCATCAGTGGTTCAACCGTAACGTTATGAAGGGGCGAGAATACTTTTTGTAAGCGAAAAAAACAAAAATAACGACTTTATTCAACAATTCGTATCCTCTGTGTCTCTCCGCATCACCTTAGCGCCATTTTGGAGAATAACCACTGAATGCAAGCAGCGCACGCTCTTCTGTGTCAGCCGCGACACAAGGATACGTTTTCTACGTGTATTTACGCATTGATTTGAACGAAAACAGCACATCCGTGCAGCACGGCTGACACAGAAGAGCGTAATCAGACAGTCACAAGCCTCCTGGTTTTCATCCAAAATATCTTAAATTGTGTTCCGAAGACGAACGAAGCTTTTACGGGTTTGGAACGACATGGCGGTAAGTGATTAATGACAAAATTTTCATTTTGGGGAGGAGTATCCCTTTAACTATTCATCTAAAATTATAAGGACGTAGTTCACTAAATATTGCGTCACTTTTGAGGAT